TTATCTATCTATTTCTTTATATATCTATTTATCTACCTGCCTATCTGTCTGACTGTACGTCTACATGTCTATCAGTATATGGACATATTGCCGTCTGTCTCTCTCTCTTTTCTCGTATTTGTTTTAGATTTTGCTTGGGTTTAATACTGGTTATTTGTTTTATTTTCCACTCTATTAACATTTTCATTCAGATTTCTATTTGAAATTTCTGTCTCTCTCTTTTTTTCTTTTTTAATATAGATACAAATATGGCGTAAAAACAAATCTAACTTTAGTATTTTTTTCATCATTCTCATTTTTTTTCTATACTCCTTTGTTTATTCTATTTCCTTATTCTATTCAATTGTTTCGTGTTTCGGTAACGTTCCCCAATACCCCCCCCCCCCCCCATCTGCGACAGATGTTTCTCGTACAAAAAGAGAAGGCGGAAAAGAGGTAGAAAAAGGGGAGATGGAAAGAAAGGAGATCAGAAAAAGAAAGAGAGAGAAAGGGAAGGAGGGAGAGGAAGGCGAAGACGAAGACGAAGAGAGAGAGAGAGAGAAAGATTCATTATGCTTTATATGTAGATCTATCCATCTGTTTATCTTTCTACATGTATGCATACCCACATGTCTACCTATATATGAACATATCGCCGTCTCTCTCTCTCTCTCTCTCTCTCTCTCTCTCTCTCTCTCTCTCTCTCTCTCTCTCTCTCTCTCTCTCTCTCTCTCACTCACTCACTCACTCACTCACTCACTCACTCACTCTCTCTCTCTCCTTCCCTTCTCGCATTTATTTGTTTAATGTTTTACTTCTTGGTTTCGCATTCGTTGCTTTCTTTATTTTTTGCATTTTCATTACATTTTTTCCTGAGATTTTTCTTTTTATTTCCTCACTCTATTTCGTTCTCTCTTTTTAAATACAAATGTGTCGTAGAAAAAAACACATTCAACTTTCTCATTCATTCTCACTTTTTATAGAGAGGGAAGAAGGGAGATGAGGAAGAGAGAGAGAGAGAGAGGAAGGGGAGGGAGGGAAAGAGAGAGAGGGAGAAGGAGAGCAAGAGGAGGGAGGATGTGTGTGTGTGTGTGAGAGAGAGAGAGAGAGAGGAAAAGGTTTTATATGCAGATCCTATCATGACTTTCTCTTTATCTATGTATCTATCTATCTATCTGTCTACATGTCTATCTATTATGAACATATCGCCGTCTTTCTCTCTCTGGCATTTGTTGTTTAGGTTTGTAGTGTTTCTTACTCGTTGTTTTAGTTGTTTATTTTTCCATTTCTTTGTTTCATTCCGATTTTTCTTTCAAATTTCTGTCTGTATCTTTCTTTGTTTTTCTTCTTAATTTAGATACAAATCTAACGCAAGTAAACACATCTAACCTTATCCATTTTCAATCATTCCCTCTATTTTATACTCGTTTGTTTATTCTATTTCCTTATTCTATTCATTCATTTCTTGTTTCGGTAACCTTCCCCAACCGACACCCCCCCCCCCCCCCCTTTTGCGACAGGTTTCTTTTTCGTAAAAAAAGAGAAGACGGAAAAGGGATAGCGAAGGGGGAGGAGGGAAGAAGGGAGAGAGGGAAGGAGGTAGGAAGGGAGGAAGGAGAGTGAGATAGAGGGAGAGGGAGAGGAAGAGGGAGAGTGGTAGGGAGGGAGGGGGACAGAGGGGGAGGGAGAGAGAGAGAAGGAGAGTAGGTGGAAGAGATAATGTCATAAATACATAGTTTATAAACCCACCTAAACCGGACATAAATACAGATCGTCCGGGTGGAGGAACGGTTAACGGTGTGGCTGGGGATTCCCCGAGGCCCGCGTTCGAGACCGTTCCATGCCAAGTGTGGAGTCACACGTAGGCCTCCCTTTTAGTTTTGTTTATTCATGAAATTTATTATATAACAAATAAATATTGTATATAAAACACTTACGAATATAGGTCTACAGTCTGTATAGACGAGGGTGAACACGCATTTTCTTTGATGTTGATCATATGACTATCTCTGTCTATTTCTCCATTTATCTATCTATATATATGTATTTATCCACGTCTATCTATATATGAACATATCGCTCTCTCTCTCTCTTTCCTTTCTCCGAAAGAGAAAGACCGAAGGTTATCATTAAAACAAAACAAAAAACAGCTGTTCCTCCGTTGCGAATTGTCTCTCAGTTAAACTTTTTTATTTTTTTATTATATTTTAAATCAAATCTTTTTTATTCTTTTTCTTACCATTTGGTTTGCAGAGCACTCCAAGTCATTGGCATTCAGTGGTTTCTCTCTTTCTCTTTCTATGTCTATATTTGTCTCTCTCTCTCTATATATATCCTTTCTCGCATTTGTTTTAGACTTTACTTTGGTTTCTTACTCCTTGTTTTTTTTATTTTGCATTTTCTTTACATTTTTTCAGTTTTCATTTTGAATTTTCTCACTATCTTGCTCTCTCTTTTTAGATACAAATATGTCGTAGAAGAAATAATTAACTTTAAATCATTCTCACTTTATATATCTTTAATTTATTCTATTTCATTATTATATCCAATTATTTCGTATGTCCTGCGACAGACGTTTCTTTCTCGTAATAAGGAAAGGTGGAAGAGGGACAAACTGGGGGAAGGAGGGAAGAAGGGAGATGAGGAAGAGAGAGGGAGGGAAGAAGGGAGATAAGGAAGAGAGAGGGAGGGAAGGGAGATAAGGAAGAGAGAGGGAGGGAAAAAGGGAGATACGGAAGAGAGAGGCAGGAAGGGAGAGAGGGAGGGAGATGAAGAGAGAGGGAAAGGAGAGGTAGAGGATGAGAGAAAAGAGAAGGAGGGAGGGTGTTGGGGTTTATGTTTACTTTCATAAATCCACTTTGTTCTTTTAAAATGTCCCGGACTGGAATGGCTTATCTAAGGGCTCTAACCAAAACAACAGGTTTCATACTGTAAAATATATATTCACAAATATATACACTTAGAAATGTCTCAGGAGATACAAAAATCACAAAGGATAAAATCCTTGATAATGGAAGCACCAAAGTTCATAACACTAGTTTTCTGCTCATGGATGCAACAGCATAAGTAACCTGTCTTCTCCAGCACGAATCTTGGGACGGTTCCTCGCTTGTTATGCGCTCACAATGCTTGAAGACAAACATTCCATGAAGCAGACAAATCATCAAAAGAGGCTGTAAACAAGGGTATACACTATACATTTGCCATAACATTCCCAAGCGCACACTATAACTGAACAAAAATGATGCTTTAAACAAACAAGCTAAACAAAATATATCGAAATAAACAACACTTACTGAGGTGGCCATCTCACTTAGCTCCGATCTCTGCTGCCATAGCTTGGGTGGTTCACAAGTTATCTCTGGGCGACACTTCGCTACGAAGCCTACTGCTTCGGAGCGGAGTGAACTCGAACACACTATTCGCACTCTCGTGCTTACCATACTCTTAAAATAGGGAAATAACACCATTTCACAAAGCCCTCTAATTTGACTAAAATCCCAGAATTTTAGGTGGTGTGATTTTACTAAGCACTGCGGCTTAAAACATCAGCACCTATGTTACATTCACCTTTAATGTAGTCCAGGGAGAAAGAATATGGCTGTAGAGAAAGTGACCAACGCATTAATTTACCATTACCATTTTTCATATTTCTTAAGTATGTCAAAGGTTGTTGATCTGTTTGAAGAACAAATTCCTTTCCGTAAAGATAATACTTGATTGTTTCAATAGCCCAAACTATACTTAAACATTCGCTTTCTATTACAGCATATTTCTTCTCACGTTCCAGCAAAGTCCTATTAGAATAAGCAATAGGCATCAACACATCATTATGATCTTGTAGCAACACTGCACCCAGACCAGTGTCTGAAGCATCGGTTCTTAGAAGAAATGTTTTGGAGTTTAATCTTTTCCTTTTGTTCATTAGTCCACTGTGGGTTATTACTACTAAACTTTCTCAATATTACATTTACAGGGTGGAACTATATCTGAAAAGTTAGGAATGAACTTTCTATAAAGGACAGTACCTAGGAAAGATCTTAGTTGTTTCTTGGTCGGAGGGAGAGGCATATCCATAATAGCAACCTTATCTGAAAGTGGTTGAATGCAGTTCTTGCCTACGGCAAACCCCAGATATTTAATTTCATACTGAGCAAGAAAACACTTATTTGGACCAGCTGTAAGACCTTTCTAGAAGAGCTGTGACATCACGAATGTGATCATTCCAATTCGTATTGTGTACAACAATATTATCAAAATAACATTCAGTGTTATTTAAACCATGTAATACCTTCCTCATTAATCTAATAAAAGTAGCACAGGCCGTTTTCAACCCGAAGGGCATTCTAGTAAATTGCATAAGCCCACGGCTTGTAGCAAAAGCTGTTAGAGGTTTTGAATTATCCGAGAGAGGAATTTGCCAATACCCTTTGCTCAAATCAAGTTCAGTGAAATATGTATCGCCCACAAATTTACCAAGTGCTTCATCCATAAGAGGCATTGGTTCTGCATCAAAAAGGCAGACTTCATTTAATCCTCTGAAATCAACACAGAATCTCCATGTGTTATCATCTTTCTTTGCTAGGACTACTGGAGAACAGTATGGTGAGGTACTTGGTTCAATTGCACCAAGTTTGAGCATGCGGTCAATTTCATCTTCATAATATTTGTGCAGATGATGAGGCACAGGATAAGGTATAATATGCACAGGGACATCGGTAGTCAAGTGAATTTCATGAATGATGGTATCAGTTCGACCAGGATTATCTGAAAACACATCTTGAAATTTGCTTACTAATTTATTTAAGTCTGTAACCTGTTCTGTAGACAACTGTGGATTGATGTTAAGTTTATTTTCAACAGCTTCATCTAACAGCGAGATATCACAAACATCATTAGCACAAACTGAATCATCAATAATACAAACTTGACAGACTGATACTTTTGCTTTAGGTTTCTCTCCTCGCCTGACATACTCCTTCAACATGTTAATATGGTAAAGCTCAACTTTACCACGAGCCTTAATCAAATAGTCTACTCCATTGTCGTGTCTCTTTAGCACAGAATAAGGGCCCTTCCACTGCATTTGAAGTTTGTTGTGTGAAGAAGGAAGCAAGACCAAAAATTTTATATAATCTACTGTTGATGGCAGCATTAGCTGAAGCTAGTTTAGCAGAATCTTCTAATCTAGTTCTTAAATCTAGGACATATTGATAGGTATTCTTTACTTCAAGTTCATCTTTTGTCTACAAGTCATGGAGAATGGATATTGGGCCACGAACCTGTCTCCCATACAGTAATTCAAATGGAGAAAATTTGAGTATCATTAGGTATTACTCTATAAGCAAAAAGTACTGAAGGTAAGTATCTATCCCTGTCATATGGTTTGTCTTGACACAGCTTCCTTAGCATTGCCTTCAAGACTGAATGAAATCTTTCGACTGTGGCATTACAACATGCGTGATAAGGACTAGTGTAAATGGCTTTGATGGATAATAGACGATTGATCTCGCTCATCAAATCTGATTTGAATTGGGTCCCTCTGTCACTAAGAATCTCTTTTGGAATGCCAACCCATGAAAAAATCTCTACTAGAGATTCTGCAACTGTTACAGTATCAATGTTCTTTAGTGGAACCCCTGGAAAACGAGTTGCATAGTCTATTAGGGTCAAAATATATTTCTGTCCACGACTGGATGGTGTTAGTGGTCCAACACTATCAATTGCAACCCTTGAGAATGGTCACTAATTATTGGCATGGACACCAAAGGAGCTTTTCGAATATTACCCTTAGGGGATGACTTCTGGCAAACATGACATGATCGGCAATACCGCTTTATATCAGCACCTGCACCTGGCCAGAAAAAAATATGGAATACCTTTTCTGCTGTTTTTCTGTGTGAGAAGTGACCTGATAAAGTAGAATCATGAGCTGTTGACGGTATTGTGTAGATTACTGGGAACTACAAGTTGTATCATTCCTATCTCATGTTCATTTCTACTCTTCACACAGATACAATATATTAACCCATTGACTTTCTCATATTTGACTGTGCAATGTTTGACTGAAACCAAATTTTGACTAACCACTCTCCTCCTAATTTTGTCAAGACTAGGGCAGTTTGTTTGAGCTTCAATCAAATCAGACCTTGAGAGATTATCCACAGAAATCTCAGGGACAACAAGTGGATTAGGTGCTTGTGCCCTTGTCTGAACACCCAGTACATTGCTCATTCCGTTATTAAAAGTACGACATTTCTCACCCGGTTGCTTAGTAGGAGATGGTAGCTTGACACCCTGAACCATTCCAATCAATACATCAGTAAATTTGATTGGGGCTGCTACTGCTCTAACCCACCCATTGATAAATTTACTTTTGATGAAACAGCGAACCTCTGGGAAACTTTTGTCAAAGCCAAGATAGTCATACAATTTAACATATTTACCTCTTTTAATGTTTGGAGGAATGAGTGAATCTTTCACAATAATGATAGAACAACCAGTATCAAAGAGAACTTTAGCAGGCTTATTGAAGACTGTACCAACATCTGTAATGGTAGTTTCGGGGGCAACATTAGATTCAAAGACATTAGTAATTTTAGAGGGCAACCTATGTTTAGGAGTAGCCTTAAGCTCTGGGCAATTAGGTCGGATATGCCCTGGTTTCTGGCAGTTGTGACATTTGACATTAGATTTACTTTGGAAGTCCTCAACATTAACTTTGGCCTGAAAGGTATTACGGACTCTCGTACTCCTATGAGCAGATCTGTACCTGTCAGCAGCCTGAGCCATATCCACACTGCTATCAAAAGAGCGTTCTTTTAGGAAGATTCTTAGATCATTGGGACAATTACTTAGCAACTGGTCTTTAACAAGGAATTCACACAAACTGTCATACTCCTTTGGTACATCACTAAGGTCAACTAACCAGTGATCTAAGCATTGCCTCATTCTCGGTAAAAGTTGCACATACGTCATAATGTCTTTTACTCTACTCTCCCTAAATCTCTTTCTGTATGAGTCAGCATCAACAGAATATGCTTTCAAAAGTGCCTCCTTTAACTTATCATAGTCACAGAATTTCTTCAGGTAAAGTTACATAAACCTTCAGAGCTTTGCCACTAAGCAGATAACCTAAATAGACATGATAGGTACTACACTCCCATTTCTGAAGATTAGCCATTCTTTCAAATCGCTTGAGAAAGTCATCAATCTCATCTTTCCCTTCTTGGAAATGAGGTAATCTCAACCCTGGATAACAATCATTACTTTGGTTAGGCTCTCTAGTTTCTAACTTAAGGTTAGCTAGAGATAATTCATGAGCCCTTTGCTTTTCTGCCTCTACAGTTTGTCTCTCCCTTTCCTTTTCTGCTTCAATTGCTTCAAGTTCTAGCCTTTGTATCTCTCGCTCTTTCTGCCTTTCTTCCCTTTCAAATTCCTTCTTGTATCTTTCTTCCTAATTGGCAACTAGTAAATTTATGTCAGCAGGGGTAAAACCTGCCTCTTTAGCCTGCTTCACAAGTTCTATTAAATTTATTGAAGGCATGTTTATTTATTTAAAAAAAAAAATAGCATTAAAGATTTATAATCAGCTGAGTTCTTCCAGTGACTACTAGAACACAATTTTACAAAAATGTATAGTGCAAAATAATGCTTTCCTATGCAAGTATATGATTGCAGGAATTTAACAAAAATATATATTCTAATAGTAGGGTCACAAAACCGCTACTGAACATAAGCACACTAGTCATCGACTAATAATAGGGTCACAATACCGCTACTGAGCATAAGCACAATTGCCATCGACTAATAGTAGGGTCACAAAACCGCTACTGAACATAAGCACAATAGTCATCGACTAATAATAGGGTCTGGTAACCGCTACTGTACAGGCACAATGACGAAACACATCAACTAGTGAGGGCAGGCATGAGTCTGACGCATATACAGTAAACATACTCACTTCGTATAAGTCGTCACACTGCCATCACTTCACATAGACCATTACATACCACCTTCACCTCTTGATGTACGTTGCCACTCAAGCTATGACCAGCCACTGCCTCCTTTCTCCACATTACAAAATATACCTGGGGACAAACAGAAAATTCAATACAATGTTCAAAAGAAAACTCCTTAGATAAGCACATTCACGGGATATCCTACTCACTGCGCCACTTGTTGGGGGTTTATGTTTACTTTCATAAATCCACTTTATTCTTTTAAAATGTCCCGGACTGGAATGGCTTATCTAAGGGCTCTAACCAAAACAACAGGTTTCATACTGTAAAATATATATTCACAAATATATACACTTAGAAATGTCTCAGGAGATACAAAAATCACAAAGGATAAAATCCTTGATAATGGAAGCACCAAAGTTCATAACACTAGTTTCCTGCTCATGGATGCAACAGCATAAGTAACCTGTCTTCACCATTATCTAGTTCCTCTCTTCTCCAGCACGAATCTTGGGACGGTCCCTCGCTTGTTATGCGCTCACAATGCTTGAAGACAAACATTCCATGAAGCAGACAAATCATCAAAAGAGGTTGTAAACAAGGGTATACATTATACATTTGCCATAACATTCCCAAGTGCACACTATAACTGAA